GCGTCCTCCGTAGTTGCGTGCAAAGGACAGGAAAACTTGCGAGCGTTTCGGAAAATCAACGCGGAGAAACGGTGTACCCGCTCTTTAAATAAACTCGGACAAAAAGCAGCAATGTGATAAAAACACCCTTGCACGAAAAAAAAAATATATATATACATATACACACGCACTTTTCCATATTTATGTTCCAGCTACCGACCATTACCTAGCCTACAATTGCGACACCTCGCCGCGTGTCATTTTCCCATTCCCGATCCTTTTCTTTTCCTCCATACGGTGTAACGACTCCTGGCGTAATCATGGATCCCCCGACAGCGGCGATAAGTCCTCGGTCGGCGGAAAGTGAGCCGGTTCTCACGCGCGGAATAACCGCAACCGAGGCAGGCGGGTATCCCTCGTAAAGGAGCCAAGGTAAGGAAGGTCGATCAGGGGTTCCGTATCGAATTTGTTTTTAGCAGCTAAACACGAACGGTGAACTGGATCCGATTGAACCGTAGCCGCGGTATCGAGGATCCGATTTCGCGAATCGCGATTCGGCCTCGGGATCTCGCGTGACGTTCGACGCTCGTTCCCTCCGCGATAATATTCCCATTTTCCCTACAGCGAGTACGCACCCCAAAAAAATAAAATAAAATAAAATAAAAGGAAGAAACAAGTGGGAGGATAAATTTGACTTTCCCAGGAAACTCGGAGGAGCGGCGAATTTCCGCGCGATGCGTCCATCGCGGAGACGCGAGCTCGGCCCATCGGGCGCGCGAAAGGGCGAAACTGCAGGCAATCAGGGAGGACAATTTGGCCGGGATCGTGTTCGCAAACTGCATTAACGAGGCGCCCCGTCCGACCAAACGATACCTACGGCCGATTGGCTGGACCTTGCCCGATGCAACCTTGCAATTAATGCACCCTGCACGAATGCACGGCGTAGGTGGATATAAGCGAGCGCCCCGAGGTACGTACCCGGGGCGTGATATATCGCCGTCTATGGGGGAGGCGGAAAAAAAAAAAGAGGACAAATTTGAATAGTCCGTCGGTTATTAATTCAGGATCGGGGGTAATTAGTCATTGGTGGGGGGACGGTAAGAAGTGCAAGGTGTCCGCGCCGGCGCATCCGAGGAATCATTGTGCGCGGTGTGGGAGCGTATACGCAACGGGACGCACATTGTTTTGTCTCGGCACGAACCGCTCGTTAAAAATATCCGGTCGAGACGCGGGAGAGAATGAGGGAAGAGAGCGCTAGAAGGGGGAACAGGACGGGGGAACAGAAGAGAGTAACAAGTTCGCAGGTTCCTTAACCCTCTCGCGACTACTCCGAGCCGGTGCCGGCGCAGCATCCTCTGTCGAATGACGAACCGACAGATGAGAAGTGAGGCTCGACAGTTCCAGACGCTTCGAATTCGTCTCTGATGCTTTCTTTTTTTTTTAAATCGCACGCAGGTATATAGATGTGTATAAAATAAGAAACAAAATAGGAATAATTCTACAGCGCAGAAGTGAGGCTCGACAGTTCCAGACGCTTCGAATTCGTCTCTGATGCTTTCTTTTTTTTTTAAATCGCACGCAGGTATATAGATTTGTATAAAATAAAAAAAAAAAATTAATATATAATCTAGTCGATTTAATCCAATAATTCCCGCCGCAAGACGAGGGACTCGTGCGACGTGTATCCATTTCCGATCCCAGTATCCATAAAGGCTGCGTAAAATCGAGGATTGAACATCCGAAGCCTCGGGGAGTCGATCCGTTATCACCTTACAAATAGAAATTGGAGACACCACAAGATTAATCAGATTCTTCAAGATTTTCTTCGAAATTTCAACGCGACGCGAGAAGAGACGTCGGACGAGATGTATTTTTGCCGCCGCGCAGGAAGAGACGGAGATAATAAATGCGCGTTTTCCGCGAGGAATGACGAAGCCAATGATAACAGGAAGCGAGGAAGTGAAGAGAGAGAGAGGGAGAGAAAAAAAAAGAAGAAAAAAAGATCTCGAAAAGGGAAAAACAAATAAACTAGGAGACTCGTCACATCGTTCTCTCGTGTCACGCTCGCTTGACGCATCGCTTACGTACTCCTGCATTCCCGTCGTTTACGAATCATCGGGTTCAATTGATTCATGCACGATTGCTCCACATACGCGCATCCACATGTGCAGAAAAGCCAGGAAAATCCGCGCGTGGAGCCTCCACGATTTCCAGGGAGTATTTCCCCTCACGGGTAAGACCTCGAGTGGATACCTCCTAAGGCGCACCTTGCACCTTGCACGTGCGCTAAATATTTTCTCTTTTATTTATCTTTTTTATATATAAAACAAAAGGATATCCTCACACCCTGAACCCCTTTCGTCGATTGGCGAACGATCCGAGAATGGGACATTCGTCGAAAATCAAGGGAAATAAATTCCGAATGTCCATATACGACCCCCCATAACCCGGAGCATGAATTGCCCCCCCACCCCGGGGCAATTATTATTTTTTTTTTCTTCTTAAACCGCAGAAAACAAAGGACGCGGCAGTAAATTCCCCCTTTCACTCCACCAGGACGAGCCATCGAAAATTCATTGGATTCCACAGTCGCATAAAACGTGCATTTGAATTTTAACAGCGCCCTTTGACTTCATCGGTCAGTGTTGTTTCACAAAAGGGGTATAAACGGTGGGTGGGGGGTGGGGGATCAAAGAGGGAGAGAGACAGTTTCCGCACCAGGCCTCGTGCACAAAGTCGAATCGTATCCCCCGGGTTTACGATCGCGGCCGATAACGAGAAGAAAATCGCTTTACAAGTCGTTTTCACCTGGATAAAAAAAAAATCCCGCGAGGAGTTCCCTCGCTAAGGAGAGGAACCCCTCACCTGCGAAATCGATCTACCGTGCGCGTCTTCCCCCGGCGACCCCCCGCAAGTAAGGGGGGGGGGCGGGATTTTTGTCACAGCAACAAGTTGCAAACCCACTCTCTTCCTCTCCTCCTGTACTTCCCTCTCTTCCTGCCTCCTCCTACGGGAAAAATCCCCTCCCGACAAGGTGCCTCGCGAAGCCGTTCGATCCGATCGAAGGATCGATCGCGATCGAGCCTCCCCATAAAAAGCCGAAAAATAACAACCATCGCGCCGGACTCCTGCGGCAAAACGCGGCGGCGGATCCGCGAGTGATTCACCGCTCCGAACACAGTGGGGCCCGATTATAATTTACAGGTAGCGACGCGTGTCGGGGTTTTCGCGGGGGGTCGTTGCCGCCCCTTTACACGCGTATCTGTCCCCGCCTCAATATATATCGACACACCGCGTCGGCCGCTCGTGAAAGAGCGAATCGCGATTCGCGACCCCGCTTTCCCCCCCGATCGGCCGCGACAAACCGCGCTTCCGGTTGTTCGATGGCCCCGCACTTCCGGTCGAATTCAAAAGACCGCCGCGCGTTTTCCGCAACGAACCCCGGGGGTTAAACCTTACGCGATCGCAGATTTACGCGACCGATCTCGCCCTAGGGTACACAGCGACCCGCGATAAACTCGAAAAAAAAAAAAAAGAAAAATTAAAAATGCAACTTCCCAACCTTATCAATTATCTCGGCTGACTACGCCCCCAGGGATGCCGGTCGCAATCAAGGCTTGAAAAAAAAAAAAAAAAATTGCAGAACCCACAACTCGAACGCGCTACCTCGATCTCGGTTCGCGATACTCAGGTATCAAACAACATTATGATATTATCGAGAGAAAGTTGCTTAAACCTCGACTGATCCCTGATAACCTCCGTGCCTTCTTCGGGTCCATCCAACCCTGAACCGAGTTTTTCCTTTCTTTTATCATTCTTCCACCCGTGCTCTTTTTCGTTTCTGGTCGCCTAAACATTAATTGCATTAAAAAAATCTCGTAGTATTACCCTCGGATTTTGTAACCACGGGTTTTGAATGAATGGACAGTGAAGTGATAAAAAAAAATGTGGCGATGGTTAACCCAGGTTTTGTTATGAGATTCGACCTTGAGTTGGAAGTTAACGATGTTCCGCCGATCCCGTTTCGAGGGCGCCCTCTATCTATGTCCTTTGTATCCAGTTGTGGAATCTGCTCGAGTTTATCCAAGAATGGTGCCTCGACAGGTCGAGGCCAGCTACGGAATGTCCGAGGTCGCGATGCCCCGAAGAGAGCTCCTGTTAACTCGCCATGCGGATCGAATGAACATGCTCCGCTCTATCGACGCTACCAATCGGAATCGCCGTTTTGATAATGCCATCCAACTGCAGTAGCCCGGCACGCGACGACGATCGGTACCAGCCTAAAAATGGGGACCAACGAAATTTTCACAAGCAAATTCCCCCAAAACAGTGCACTTCCCTTCTACATAAAATTCCCTCAATTTTTCCTAAAATATCGAATAAAAAAGAAAATTATTAAAAAACGGTTTAAATGGCACGGCGCGAAATCCTGACATTTCCCCGCAGGAGAAAAGAAAACTGAAGATGATCGTAGATTTTCAGAGGGTGGAGGGGGATTGGTATACATGGGTGAATTTTTGCAAAATTGAACAATAACCGATACAGTTCGAAAGGCGATAGGATGCGCGGATAGCGGCGGCAGGTTAGGGGAACGCACCTGCTGCGTAAGAGGCGCCTATGCGTGTCGTAAAGCCTCTTCCCCTTTCACGAGCGTTCACTTTCGTTCGTTATTCAAATTACCGGGAGCGGCGAGCGAACTCGGCGCGCCGGATAAAAATAATGAATACCCGTTTCCGGTAAAAATAGCGCCAACTCGCAAAACACCGCAGCCGTGGAATCCTCCAGGAGTCAGTTACCGCGCAACAATAACGGCCATATTGAATCCTAGAACCGTTAAAAATACGAACGCAACCTTGAACCGTTCCTCGAAGACGGTGGAAAATTCTAGAGTGCTCGAAATATTTCTAAATCCCCCCCGTGATAACGATGCCCCAAGAAAGACTTGGAAAAATTTAGGGAAAGAGAAAGGGATCGTTTAAACGTGTATGTATGTTCGAGAAGTAGGAGGTCGGTTACGGTACCTGAGACAAGTCGCTGTCCTCCCGGATGCGGCCCTCGACGGTGGTGGCGTCGGTCGAGGCGAAGAGGACGGCGAGGACGGCGAAGAGGGCGACCGAGGCGGAGCACATGTTGGGCGTCGCGAGGGATCCGGCGGCGCTGTCGCGGGAGCTCGCCCGCGAAGTCACAGATCCACAGAATTCACTGAACGCACAGATGCGCGGCGGCGTCGGCCGTCGCTTGTTCGGAAGTCTTCGTGAGCGATCGGCTCGGATCGGCGAAAGCGATCGGCAGGAGCGGCGGGACCCGGGGGGGAAGCGCGGGGAGAGGAGACAGCGAAGGAGAGCCGCGGCGGTAGCCAGTGACCCGGTCTCGCCTGCTGACCGATTCGGATCGGACGCGCGCTCCTCTGCGGGTGACGTGTTAACGACACGGAGGATGGCGCGGAACTGTGCCCCCTCCGCGCGCGGACCCGCGACTCCCCACCCCGCGCGCCGCCGCCCCACCCCTCGCGCCGCACGCTCCACCCTCTCGCTCGCGCGCGCCTCGGGCCTTAGCGCCCCCTCTCTCGCGCGCCGCGGCCCGTATCTCCCCCCCTCTCTCGCTCCGCCTCGCGCGCCGAGACCACGTGGTGACGTCACGCGCCCCGACCCGCATCCGTGACGTCACGGCTGCCGCCGACGCGCGGCAACGTGGCCGGGCGCCCCGTGCTTACTTTGCGAGCGGACGCCGAGCGTCGCGGGGTGTCCGCGCGTCTCCCCCGCCGCGGAAAGCTCGCGCTCCGTGATGCGACCCTGATTTGCCACTCGAATTCTCGCGGCCTCGCTGTGATGTGCGTCGTGTAACGACGAACCGTGAGCTCGTTTCTTCAATTATGGTTTTCTGTGACTTCCTGATCACTTCCCCGTTCTACATGGTGCTAAGAGCTTATCGGATGATATTACCGTTACTTGTTTATGTTACCTCTTTTTGTTGTCTGAACTGAAATGACGCATACGAATAATCCTGCGGACGACTAATTAAAAAAAAAGATTTGAATATATTTAATGAGAAGGAAATTAAATAGAGGGAAATGAAAATCTCACAGTGGTGGTATTTTCAGCCCTACATCTTCACCTCGCTTCGTTTCGTTTCCTCCGCATTGTTCAAAATTGTAAACCTCCACCTGACAAGGGAAACGGATCAGAATCAATGCGGTTTCTCTGTCGGGATTTGTTTGCCACGCCTAACAAGCATTTTTCAATCCGTTCCTGTCCAGATTTGATGGACGTAGTGTATGGTGGTTAAAACCGATCGCTTTTACTTACAAAGGAGCCCGAGGAAATTTTTTTGAAAGTTAATGAAAAGACTGACATTTTGTTTGTTACTCGTTGTAAATGCAGTTGTTACGTATTCCACGGAGATCATGTTTTTCGGCGATTTTTATGATTCACAGTTTTGGTAAAATATTCCAGATTCACGGCTCCATTGTTACGCGCGAAATTCCGGTGGGAAAATGGTCTCTTTTTTTTTTATTTCTTGTTTTAGGTGGGCTTAAGGTGATATGAAAGTGTGATATATACGTACCGGGAAGGCGACATATTTATAAAACTTTTCTCCAAACTGGGTGCACCGAATTATCTGAAACTTTAACACGTGACTGAATAATTCGGTGCACCCAGTCTGGGGAAACGTTTTATCATTATTTTGAATTTTTCGTACGTGTGTATCGCACTTTCATATCACCTTAAGCATTTTACGCATGCAGTTATGCGTGTGCACGTTTTCGGGCTCGATTGAAAAATATTCCCATACAAAATTGCTGCAGTACTTCGTAATAAAGATCGCCTCGGTTTAGGATTCTACCGGCGAGGATCGTAAACGCGAGGTTAAGTACTCTCACTGATTGCCATTAATTAATTCCGGCTTTACAATCCCTCCCTTTATCGAAGCCACTGATGCTCTAGCTGCACTTTCGCTTGAATCTTCCATTAAGGGAAGTCAATTTTGCATTCTCGATTTTAATCGGCATTCTTCATCAACGAGAATCGGCACTCTTCTGAACTCTAAATCGAAAATATTAAACGATAATTTTTTTGAAATATTCTCAAGTGAGACTCAAAGACGAAATAACGACGAGACGGTGCAATATCGGTGGATTTATGATAATTTAAAATTTGGAGGAATTAAAAAAAAAGTATTCGCCATATCTGATCATTTTGGAGTATTAAAGTCGAGGAGTGTAGAAGCGTGCGTGTACGTTTGTTTAATTTATGAAATCTTGATCCGACGAAGTCAAGGAGGAAATTTCGAAACTCTGGCCGATCGAATCTCTCGTCTAAGCTCGCTGGAAGTTTCTCATCCTCTAGTAATTACGTAGTCGAGGATGAGCTTGTTTGACCTCCGCAACTAGACCAATTTAGGACTGCTTAAGTAAGTAATCCGCTAGAGTTTTGGACTAAACGTACCTATACGTTTATATACCAAAATATATTTTACGACATCGAGAAAATCCTTGGAAAATTTCGCAGACCTGAAAATAATCGCGACGCTAATTTGGTCTTCACTTTTCCCTCTCCGAATCACACAAATGGACGAACGATCATTGCCCAGATCCTATAATAATCATTTTAATATCTATTAAAGACTGAAAATGAAATATTCTCCCAGAGGCTAATAGGGATTTACTGAATAATTGAAAATGATAACCGTTACATCATTTATAATTGCCAGCTGGGATTTTGGAAACACGACAGGGCTTTTCACATGTTAAGAGTTGTACGACAATCGAATGCTTTTAACAGGACGCGTTTTACAGTATTGATTTCGGTCAATCCCTGCGAATTTCCGATATCCGAGAGTCGCATTATTTCCCGCTAAATCGCTAATTAATTGAATGAAGGTAACAAATTACAGGATATCCTGTTAATTTACCTGCTCGAATTTGAGCCCGAAGGCCGATTTGGGAACTCGGGGAAATTCTGATGCGTAGGTCTATGTACAGTGGTGGACATGGATGTCTTCCCATTATGCTCGTCCGATACCATATCTGCAGGGATGGCATACATGTTCACCACTGTACCTCCAGGGAATGCTGGATCCAATTTTTGTGTAGAAGGAACGGCAGGGTTTTTAATGAAAAATTAAGTTGTCGATACCGTGAGTAACTCAATGTCGAGCGCTATCGTGATGTCATTTTGACTTTTCGTCGATATTCATGGCGGGTGATCTACATCGGTGGGTCGTACTGGCCAAATTGGCTTTCTCATTTCCAATCAATTTCATCTGATTTAGTCGTTTGATGGTAACAGATCCGAATTGGATTTAATAAATGACGCGGCTCGTTAATGCCGGCTGATAAAATCTGTTGGCATTGCGCGTTACAATAAGCCGGTACCCGGGATTTCTATTGGATGCCGAACTCGTTGGAAAGCGACCAATTTTTGCCCTCTCACTCGTTTGAAAAGCTCCCAAACGGGGCTCGGCCGTAGCCGTTTGCGGGGGTTATAACCGCATAAAGTTCGGCCCTGCACGGCCCAATTGGAACCGTGTGGAGTGATAAAACAATGGTAATTAAGGACCGGCGGTGCAGATCGTAAAGATGGCGGAGATGCGTATAAAAGCGAACAATAACCTCGGTACGTGGGTGCTGCTGCCCCGAAATAGTCATGAACTGTCCCAGGGACATCTCTCAGAGTTTCGCGCCCGAAGATAACCCTTTGCTCTTCGAGACCATTGAATTCGGACCTAAAAGCTCAATATTTAACATCACTCCGGGGACCTCGACATCGAATACTGGAAGCTCTGAAAAAAATTCTCCTAATTGAAAATTTATTCCCGAGAAAATTAATCCTTTCGACAGGGGTAAGAAATCTATATCAAATAGATATATTTTCACGTCACTCGGTGTAACGAACTCAGGTCGATGAACGTTTTGTTCGTACTCGAAATGTATCGAGGGAACGGATCGAGAAATAAAGGTTGTTTCATACATTACTTAAATTTTTAATTAAGCCTACCTGTATCTAGACGAATTTTCTACAATTTATTAGAATTACGATCCTTCTTTGGCTTAATTCCCATGTTAAGTGAGTTGTCAGGGTTTTAGCGAGTCGGGCAGTGTTAACTTGAAAAATTTAATTACCCGTTACAGACGTGGGCTAAGTCCTTAATCCCAGTAAGCCTCGCCTTTGTCGAACACGGGCCAGGTTATTACGAGGATAAAGGAAGGTTTTACCAGCAGGAATGAAAAGCTAAACTTGGGCCAGCCCGGTCGGCCGGTCGTGCATCTTTGTGCACCTCGCTCGTCCTCAAAGTGATGGTCATCAATCGCGAGCGAGGCGGAACTCCGCAACGTAATTAATACCTCGATTTTATTTTCACATTTCATGGCTTGTTGGAGGCTGCGCCGTCAACCGATTCGTTTATTAAACGGTCAGGCTGGAATCAAAGCTCGACTCACTGTCGAGCTTTCAGCGGAAATAACAGACGTAACTGTGCCCTGTGACTCCGGACGTGGTTCATTAAAGCGCAACTCGAGCGATCTCGCCGAAAGATTCCTTTTAACTTTTTTCCGCCTCTTCAGCACCGGACTCGGTGCTGATGATATACCAGGTTTCGCGAAACCCTCGAATGTTTAATCACGTAGTCCGGCACTGCCATTCGTGTCCATAGATAACCCGATCTGTCCCTTTCCTCGCCCTTTTCAGTCCCCACTCGAGTCTTATTGCCGATTAGTCTCATAAAAAGGACCAATGGACGGCAAATATCGACAAAATCTCGATTTCCACAGTTAAAAAGAAAACCCACATCCTTTACTCCACCCTTTTTCGATATTTTCCAGCCAGTGTGCTTATCAATGTCAAAGCTCCATTTTCGTTTTTCTTTTTTTTTCTTTTTTTTTCCAAGCCGCTCGAATTACCTCGGAATTAAGTATTACCTCGAGCAGAAGAAATATGTCGCGTAGTAAAGTGGCGTCGCGTAAATTGAAACATTTTACAGCGCATTGTGCAGCATCTGCGAGGCGAAACGATGGTGGACGCCAGTCGATTTATCGCTCTAGTTAATTGAATATCGGGGGTGCAAGTAGCACTCCACCCGTTCGACTCTCGGACGGATTATTAATGCGGTGATAAAAACGAGCTCGCATGACTCCTATCACTCGAATCACTGCCTCTGGGAGTGCATCGCGCCGCATGCCGCGACAAGCTGCAGTTGTCAAAGTTCGACGGCATCCCCGATACGAAAGGACGTCAAGAACCGTATCCGGGATGAGCCCGGGTAAACCGCGAGTTGTTAATATTAATGCGTCTTCGGAATTGCCGAATCGACCAAGGAAAAAAGCCGGAATTCGAAGATTACTGCAAGGCGAAGTGCAGTATACAGAATGTAAGACCTGCACGGAGGGAGCCGGATTGCATCTTGTCAACCCGCGAAAATGGAAAAATGGATAAACAG